TGAAAAGAATACGTGAGCTAGACAAATTTGCTCAAGAAGCATTTTGGGAATCAAAGCACGACCAAACACTCCGATCGCTCTCTGGATCGGACACGTCAGGGTGGCCACCGATGATCTATTGACGATAAAAAAGTTACCAACCGATCAACAAATTGCCGACCAGATTGTTGCTGGACTTGATAGCTCCTGGGCCGCTGTCAAGGACTCGATCATATATACTGCACAGGAAATGTCCCTCAATGACACCATTGGTGTGTTGGAAGCACATGAAGTCAGTCTCCACGGAAGACCTTCCTCCAACTTTGCCTCCGCCTCTTACGCATCCAACCAATGTACTGGTTGCTCAAACTGCGGCAAGCGCGGACACAAATAATCAAATTGTAGGAAACCAAAGACTAAAGCGGGTGCGGTTTCAACAGTCAAGCTAGGTGGCCACGACTTGGGTTCGTTTGACGACGGAGACAAAGTCAATGTAATTTATGAGTAGCTGAAATCCCCCTGAAGTCAATTTTCTTCTTTCATGCACGCTCATTTTCCCTAAGCCTGCTTAATGGTTATTCTAATATCTTAGTACAATCTCCAAGTTTAGTTATATATTAGTATGTGCTGAATCTATAGTGTCAGCCTTAGAGCCAGCCAAGCTGGCCAAAAGACTGCTTAAGTCCTCCTTTTTTCATTCAAGTCCCTACTGTAACTTTTTTATCTTAATCTTTTATTGCATTCTGAATTCAGAAATGAATTCCTCTGTTAATTTTAAACTTAGTCACCCCTACACACTTTTACACTACACCTCTCCTTCACAGACTTTGTAATATTTCACCGTACCATTGTGATATATCAACCAAGTTGGAATTCCAACTCTCTACCACATGTACATTAGAGATGGGCGCGCCGCATCCGGATATCCTCTCACCATTTCAGCGGAATCGGACATCCGCATCCGCATCCGCATACGCTGGCAGATACCCGCCAGCGTTGGCGGGTATCCGCGCGGATACCCGCGGATACCCGCCCTCTGAATGGGCGGCGAGGCTCTTCCAGGAGTGTTTTTTTTTTAAAAAAAAGAAAAAAAAAAAAAACCCAGCCCCCTCGGCCTAAAGCGGCAGAGGCCACACCGTGGGAGGAACCCCTCCCAACAACAATCCAGCTCGCTGGGAGGGGTTCCTCCTGACGAGTTGGCCTGTGGACGCTCGCCGGGAGGGGTTCCTCCCGGCGAGCTGGTTTAAAAACCAGCTCGCTGGGAGGAACCGCTCCCAGCGAGCTGGCCTGTAGACGCTCGCCGGGAGGGGTTCCTCCCGACAAGCTGGTTTAAACCAGCTCGCCGGGAGGAACCCCTCCCAACGAGCTGGTACACAGACCAGCTCGTTGGGAGGAACCCCTCCCAACGAGCTGGTACACAGACCAGCTCGTCGGGAGGAACCCCTCCCGACGAGCTGGTTTAAAAACCAGCTTGCCGGGAGGGATTCCTCCCGGCGGTGTGGCCTCTTGGCACCGGGTATCCCAAGGGATACCCGGATACCCGCCAGTATTTCAGGGGGAAGGGTGCATCCGCACCCAAATCCGCACCCGCTGGCACTGGCGGGTATCTGCCAGCGGATAGCGGATATCCGCAGCGGATTATCCGCGACCATCTCTAATGTACATGTTGTGATTATGTAATCCAACTCTGAAAGTTTTCTCAGTAGACACTGAGTTCGCATTTTCAGGATCTTCAAGCTTCAGACCCACCCAGAACCAACTCAGACCAGAAAATCAGCAACCCTCAACTTGGATTCACCGCCGTATGATCGCCGTGTTATCATTTGGAGTCCTTTACTATTTGGAATCTTCCCACTCTCAGTGTCAGGATCACCAAATAGTATAGAGATCGTTCGTCGGTACCCGTTGCTAGGTACCTAGTACCGCTTGGCGGGTACCGCCCGCACCCGCCTCGCACCCGCCAGGCGGTGCCGGGTGCCGGTTTTTTGGCAAAAAAAGGGGAGGTACCCGGGTACCGCTCCGGGTACCGCCCCCAAGAGTCTTGACCGGAAGGGTTTCCTTCCGGGCGATGAGGTAGATGTACCTCATCAATCGGAGGGGTTTCCTTCCGGTTGATGAGGTACATGTACCTCGTTGACCGGAAGAGTTTCCTTCCGGTCAACGAGGATGTACCTCGTTGATCGGAAGGAACCCCTTCCGATCAAAGAGGTAGATATACCTCCCTGATCGGAAGGGTTTCCTTCCGGCAGCAATTACAAACAGTTTTTTTAAAAATTCTTTTCAATTGTTTTTGACTTTATATTTTTTATGTTTTTAAAATAAAATGATAGTCACAATAAATCCCCCCCAAAAAAACTCAAACAAGATGCAAAAGGATTGTAATGAACCTTGCAGTCAAACTAAGTGAGGAAGAGAGGGGAGGTACCCGTGGTACCTGCCAAAAGTCCCGCCGGTACCCGCCGGGAGGTGCCTGGTGCGGTACGTGGTACCTATTTTCTGAAAAAAATCAACAGGTACCCGAGTACGAACGAACGATCTCTAAAATAGTAAGTCATTCCATCAAGTCAAGCTTGCATCTTTCTGCTAAGTTTCTTCTCTGT